TAAAAACCCTGGACCAGAGACAGTCCGGGCCCGTTGGAATAGGTTCCAGGCCCTCTCGAGGCTATCCTTTATTTTCTATCTGTTTATCTCCACAAGATTCTCCGCTATAAATCCTTCTATCTAATATTTCCTGCTGCTCACACTCAAGAAAACTCTGGGAAGCTGTGGGGGTGGTGGGTAAACGCCCCACACAGCCCACATCATAAAGTGGTGAATGAATCAACTAGCCATACAATGAAATGTGACTCAGCAATTAAAGGAAAGGGAACATATTTCAATAATAGAGAGGAATCTCAAAAATATCATAGTAAAGGAAAGAATCCAGATATAAGATAGTATAAAATAGTATATACTATCTGATTCCGTTCTCATGCAATAGTAATTACTCAAATAGGCTGTCTGTAGTGAAAAAATTAGAATAATGGCTTCCCCTGTGGAATCTTGCTATAAATGGTCTGGAATAGGATGCATGGGAAATTTCCAAACACCTCATAAAGGCTTATATATAGATGGGGGTTTAAGAAAGGTATTTGCCAAAACTTAGCATCTAGATCTGTACATTTCACTCAATGTAAATTTTGCCTCCAAAAGATAAAAGGACAGTACATAAATATTGACCTCTAGTTATTGTTACACTTGCTGAGGTACTTAGTGGTAAAGTGTATTAATTGCACCTTATTTTGAAATATGTCAGTAAAATAAAGACAAACATAGAATCTAGCAAATACAACATAATGCTGTTGTAGAGGATTAAGGGTTGGTACATAGGCACCAGCTTTCTAGTGTTCAGTATGTTTCAAATTTTTAATAATAAAATGTAGAGAGAAAATAAGAAAAATGGTATCTGACAAAATTGTTACAGGAATAGAAAGGGGAACTAGAGAGATGGCTCAAAGGTTAAGAGCACTGGCTGCTCTTCCAGAGGACCAGGGTTCAATTCCCAGCAACCACATGCCAGCTCACAACTGTCTGTAACTCCAGTTTCAGGAGATGTGATGCTCTCTTCTGGCTTCATGGGCACCAGGCATGCATGTAGTACACATACATGCATGCAAGCAAATCAGTCATACACAAAATAAAAATAAATATTAAAAGAAGAATAGAATGTAGGTTGTATTCATTACAATGAGTTAAATGCTTATGAATAAAATGAAAGAGGAAAAAGGTAGACCACATCCCCCAGAACCCACTCAGTGCCATGCTTCTAGAGCCTCTTTTCCTGTCCTCCTGGCACTCCAGAGCTCCATTTGTGTGTTCCTGTGTATGCACACACATGGGCATGTATATGTGCCTGTGGAGGTCAAAGGAGAACAGCAGGTGTCATTCCTTGGTTTTTAAGTATGGTCTCTCACAGGCCTGGAACTCGCCAAATAGGCTAGACTGGTTAGCCATCCAACTCCAGCCATCCACTTATCTCCACTTCTCCAGTACTGGGATTATGCACACAAGTTGCCTCTCCTGTCTGTAACATGGGTACTAGGGAGTGAACTCAGGTCCTCATGTTTGCAAGACAAGCACTGTTCAGGCTGAGCTAATTCCCCAGCACCTGACCTTCCTTTCTTATGCTGGATAAGCCAAGATTATCTGGATGACAGGGTGTTTTATCTTTGATGTTGCTTTTGGCAGCAAATGCTGCATTTTCACAGAAGCATGCACATACTTCCCTCCTGATCACTACAAACATCACCTGGATGGATGTTGGATGAAGTTCTAGTCCCTCTTCTGAGAGGTTTTATGTTGATCTTTGTTTATTAGTGGCTTACTCGGGAAACCACTTTAAGAAAGCAGTTACTTGTGTCGCTAAGGATGCACAAAGCAAAGCAGTGAAGTTGACCAAAAACGTCATCTTGAACTGACAACCGCTTGTAGCACCTCTAAACCAGATCACTTGTTTTGGGATTCATGGTATAACCTGCTATTCTGAAATTCGGGTTACTGTTATTTACTGTCTGTGCCCCATAATCCACATACAATACTCTCAAAGGGGCTGTGAGGTGCCTGATGTATGGCTCTTAGAATAGGCATAAAGGTCTAGTTTTGTTCACGGTTGTATTCTCGGTGTCTGGCACAATGAAGGCTTCACACATTACTTTATGAGGGATTCAACCCCTGAACTCTTTTCTTCAGTGACTTCCCCCAGCCCTAACATCATTATGAAGGTCCTAGCTTTGTCGGTGTCTTTATTGTCTCCACCACTAATCAATTTGTTTTGCTCATTTATTCATTCATAATTCTTTTTTTTACATTCTTTCCGTGTTTATTCTGTCATCACACAGCATACTTGCGTTTTGCTCCTCTAATCTCACCTACCCCACCTCCTCTCCTCACCCCGCCCCAGACACGCCCCCATCCGTCCTACCCCCTTTCAGGCCAATCTTAGCCTACAGGCCAGACGGGACCGAGGCCGGGGCGGGGCTTCACTCTCAGTACCTTAGGCGGCGCCCCAGCTCCGGAAACAAGCTCCGGGCTGCTGGGCTTCGCCAGGGCTGGTGGCTCTGCTGACGCTTCCTGCCACGCCAGGCCTGCTTGCACCGCGCCAACTCCGCTTCTGCAAGGGCCCACAGTCAGGCGCTGCGGGCCGGGTGAGCGTGCAGATCGCGGGAAGGACGTGCAGCTCAAGTGATCGTGAGAGATGTGTGCGATTAAGGATGTGCGGCCCAAGAGAGCTTGCGGGGCAGCGGGAGGATGTGCTTGGGGGCTTGAGTGAGTGCGTGGACCGCGGGAGAATGTGCCGGGGAGGATAGGGGGCCGAGTGGGGAACTGCTTGGCCTTGGGGCAAGCCAGGGGCCGAAGGGGACCCGTCTCTGGTGGTGGGTGGTCATGGAAAGGCCCTGAGGCCTTCTCGTGCAGGGTAGGGGGCAGCGGTCAAAGGCAGGAATTGCGGATATGTTGAGGCCTGTGCTGCTCTCTGGAGGATGCTAAGGATTGGGTACCGGTGAGGAGGTGGGGGTGGACTCCCACACACAGCCCCTATCGACATGGAGGCCGCACATGGTGGCTGCGGGCATTGGCCTAGTGGAGAATGGCTGAACAGACTTTTTCCAGTATGGGGGAGGGGTTGCACCTCTGGGTCCTGAAGAAGATTCCAGCTTGGGGAGACCTACCTTTCCATTTGAGTGGGGGTTTTGTGAGGATAAATAGGGGCAGGTATGTTGCCTAAGGCAGACAGCTGGGGGTGCAGAAGAGTCCTTGCTGGAGGAAGAGAGTTTCTACTGTGACCCTCCTGAAAGCCACATTTTCTGGCACTACTCCATGGCCCCCTTCTCCTAAACTCCTTTGCTGGTTCCTCCAGTCTATATTTGGGTGATTAATTGCATGTCTTTTAACACACGCACGTAATCCCACTTGCCTGCTGCCCAAAGCCTATGGTCCTTTTCAGTCCCCTCCCCCCTCCAGCCCCCTCCCGCCCCCCCTTCCTGGCTCTCTTCCCAGAGGGTTCACCCTGTGCCAGCTGACACCCTCTAGTCAGCCTTGCACTCCCAGGCAGCCAGCCCCCTCCAGTCTCCTTGGCCAGTGGAACATTTCCTCTTAACCTTCAGCCCCTACATTTTTCTTTAGCAGAAATTTTCAAATGGGACAAAGTTGAATAGTACCTCTCCTAGGACCACTTGTCTTATCCCTTCTCCCATTGGGTCTTGTTATAGAAACAACATTCGCAGTGCCTGACACAGTCTGGTCCATTGCTCCAAAGTGGTCCTGGATCTGCATTTAGAATTCCATGGGACAATGATTTCTAGCCTTCTGTCAATGGTAGAACCCTTAGAAAATCTGCTTAAAAGTGTGAGTTCTCTTGCCCAAAGTCTGACCACCAGCACAGCCTCAGAAGGAAGCTCCTGGATGGGAAAGCTGCCTGATAGGAGACACAAGGGAACCCCCAAATTCTAGACAGCCCCAATGTCTGCATGTTGAAAGATGCCAATTCTGTGACACCCACCCAGACCTGCTGCTCTACCACTAGAATTTTCACTGAATCAAAAGTCTGGTTTCTAACACAGTTATCCAGCCCTTCCAAACACTGTCTGGGTTCTTTGGATGCCCTGGGACAGCTGTATAGCCTTTCACCATATTCCCAGTTTGGAATCTTTTATATCCAGAGAGTGTAACCTCAGTGATTCTATACTTACAATTTATTTTGATTTTTAGAAAGATGTCAGTGCATATTCTTGGAGAAATGGAAACATAAACCTTTCCTCAATTAAAAACAACAAACACTACAAAATCCCCTTCTGGTCTACCTTCTGGCTTTTTATAGAATGGAATAAAGAGGAAAACCTAAACAGAGAGACAGGTGCCCAGGCAAAGTGAGAGAGAAAACAGATTCTTTCCCACCCACACATACAGAAAAAGATAACACAGACACAAATATCCCAAGAGAAACAGACTTACCTGGTAAGGCAGTCATCGCTTTTGACCTTTTAGGATTCTGTACTTTTGAGGAGCAGCCAGATTTCACAGTACAAGATGGGCTTATGAGCCTCTTGCCCATCTCCTAGCCTGCCAGATTCATTTAAGAACATAAAGGCCAGGAGCACCTGTAACCCCAGGGCCCACTCAGTTGTGCTTGCACCGTTGACTCATTGAGGTACATCCAGGCCTTGGCAGTGCCAGTTCAGTTATACAGCTTGTCCTGCCCTTGAGCACTCATTACCAAAAGGACAGGTTCCTGGAAGGTACACACATGAGCCTGCTTCTGTTCACCTGAGTTATTTCAATCCAACAGGAGAGACCTTCCTTATTGGACTAATCTCTTGGAACTGTTCTAAAACAAGATGAGTCATCCCTGTGTGTCTCTTTTGGGTAAGTCTAGATGTTTGCAGAATGTGTCTGCTGTGCTGCTGGAAGGTACAAGACAATAAAAAAAGTGTTTGGGTTCTGGAAGCTCATATATGCTAGTGTTGCTGAACTACTTGCCCAGAAACAATTCTGGCAATCTTAGACACACAGTGCCAGGGAGAGAAGGTGCCTGGCAAGGAAAATGGGGAGACCAGGAGATCACTGTGTGGTAGAAGGAGCTGAAAGCACCCATTAGGACCAGATCTCTTTCACGTGTTCACAACCTTGAAACACATTTGCCCTGGCCCTAAAGGGATTTGAACAGTTAAATTTTGTGCTCTCTTCCAGTTTTGCTTTGTGGTGGTGTGATAAAACACTGACCAAAAGCAACTAAGAGAGGAAAGGGTTTATTAGACTTATACTTCCAGATCATAATCCATCATTGAGGGAATCCAGGGCAGGAACTATGGAGGAACACTACTCACTGAGTTGCTATCTGGTTCACTGCCTAGCTAGCCTTTTATACAGCTCAGCCCCTCCTACCTAAGGGTGGTTCCCTCCAACATCAACCATCAACCAAGAAAATTTCTCCTAAACATGGCCACAGGACATTTTGATTGAGGCATTTCTTCAATTAAGGGTTCCTCTTCTTAGGTGACTCGAGGTTTGTGTAAACTTGATGATAAAACCTAAACCAGCATGTCGTAAAGATATTCCTACTACAGGTTCTCATTTTGATATTGAGACACTCTAGGTGTTTGGGGCACACTTGGAAGCTTTTGGAAACTTCCAGATGGGTCTTATTTGAGTGACATTGCTGCCTCTTCCTGCCCTGCTGCCACGGAAAGATAATACCTGTCCAGAGAAATATAAAAGACACCAAATTGTTCACCAGTTTTTAATGATATAAGTTGTTTTATATCACTGTTGAATTCAGCTCAATTTTTGTTCTTTCAGGTGAAAATAAAATGACTATTTTGGGTCCCTTAGTGTTTGTAATTCCATGCAGTAAATTCAGTAAATTGCTTAGGTAACTTACATTGTGACTGAATAAAATTCTATTGTGTCTGTATACCATATTTATGTATCTGTTGATGGATGCTCAGGCTGATTCTATACATAATACTGCAGTAAACACATATGTGGAAGTATCAATGACTATACATTAATACATTTAAAAAATTTTTACATATTGCTCTAAAGCAAGATTTTCTTACCACATGAGCTCTGGTGTTTTAGAATTCACAGTTGTCTAGCCCTGCAATTGACACTGACACTGTTGTCGTACATGTTTTCTCACAGCAGATGTTTATTAAACAGCTGCAGCATGCATGAACTTGGCTATGCCCAGTGTGAAATTTGCAGTTAACTTTGACAAAGCCTTTGTGCTCTGGGTATGGATAGTCCTGGCCTTTATGTCCCATGTAAAGAAAGACAGTGTTGTTTACCTTAAAAGTTGGTTTGTTTTCCTGAGGTGGTTCTCTCAGCTTTCTTTCCCAGTTATAGGTACTAGTATACCATGGAAAATTCTTTAGGCTTCAGGGTACACTTTTATATCCTAAATAAAAGTGTCTTATGTTCAAGGTTAGCATTACCCTCTATGTTGATTGGTTGCACTACAACGACTTTCATGTTCTGTATGGAATTGTTTGACCTTGATCTCCAAAGATCTATTTCAGAAGACAATGGATACCTGTGATTGTCACTGTTGTCACAGCATCCAGCTTCTTTTCTAGATTATGTTCCACCATGTTAAAGTGGAGAAGTTGTACAACACAGTGACGAAATGATCCAATAGTCTTCAGGATTGGTGGCAGTTTTATTTTTAGCCACAGTATTATGTGTATTATCATTTTTAAATGAATTTTCTATACTTAGGATAAGCTCTTTTACCTGCCACACTTAGCTAATTGGGTAGAGTTTAGCTTCCTTTTGTGAAAGCAGGGCCCACTTTTTCCCTCTTGTTTTCATGAGTGCCTTTTAAATTATCTCTGTGTGTTCAAGTTCTCTGTTACTATGGGTGGCCATCACATAGCCACCAAGAGCTAAAGTACTCTCAAGCCAAATCCCTGGAGTGAACTAGTACAGGAAGGGCTACTCGTATTGCTATATAGAAAGGATAATTCACAGTTCTTTTAGAGTTGTAGCTCTAGGACTTTAACAGTTAATCGTGCCAATTAAGAAAAAACACTTCAGTGGGATTTGCTCCATTAAAGGTGGATAGTTTGGAAGACGTGTGTGTGTGTGTGTGTGTGTGTGTGTGTGTGTGTGTGTGTGTGTGTGTGTGTGTGTAACAGAGGAAAAGAATGATGTATGTATTTATGCACTGAGGCTCTGCAATGGCATGTTGATAATATGGCTTAAAGGTAGCTACAAAACATTCATCTATACCATGAAGCCTGCACAGTGCTCACTATCAACTGATCTTCTGGTTCTGGCTTGGGTACATAGGGTTATACATTGTTTATTTTCTGGAAAATGGTGGTGATAACAACCAGTTCTAGGTTATAATAGTAAAACTATGTGACAGGAGACACACAGCTCCAAATATTCATCCTATGTGCTTCATAAAAGGAAGCTTGCTCCATTTAACAAACCATTCTGGCTCACATTGATTCCGTTGTTCCACAGTACATCATGTCATGTCCTACATGGTGCCAGGAGCTGCTACAAATACTGGGAATTTAGGGGTAACCAATGGAGGAAAGGCCCTGTCCTGTTTAGATCAGATTTTTTTTTCTGAGAAAAATAAGCAACTTCAAAGGAGGATTTTTCATTAGTGAAAATGTTTGAAGGAAACTGCCAGGGCTGGAAAATAAGGAGATTTTAAGGAAGTGACATTTGAGTTAAGGCCTGAATTATTAGAAGGAGTCTTCTGCGATAAGAGATGGTATTCTTGGCAGGTTCACAGGCTTTGAGGGCCACAGCCTTGACATCTATATATCTGCATGAAGGTCAGTGTGTATGGATGGGGTAGTTTTGAAGGGGGGCAGGATATGCAATTGTGTACTAGACCAAAGCTATTATTAATGGCTTGAAGGCAAGAAAAGGTTAATTAGGCCATCTTTTTTCCAGAAGTGCATACATGATGTGATGTCCCTCTCTCCATTTCATTTGGTAACACCAATGTCAATTGGAAGTGAATTGTTTTAAAAAACAAAATCATGTAATAAATTTATGACCAGTTCATTGTTTGTATAAGAAGTCAAAATCAAACTAGACATTGAATGCATACCAAGAAGAAGAATGCATTAAGCCAGAGGAACCCTGCTTTGATGACACTGGATCAAAGAGAGGGTTTGTCTACTGAGTATCTCAGGATGACCTCACATGCTTATATGTTTAGCTACTGCTTTTTCTTGAAATGGTCAGTTAAATTTTAAAGATTTTAAAGTGCAGAATATGAAAATCTTGTGTTTCCTTATGCCTTTACATTCTTGGTGTAGTTCTAAGTCTAATTCCATTTCCTTCCACCTGAACGTTTTCCTTTGATATATTTTATGGTACAGAGCTGCTAATGGCAAATTGTCTAAATGTTGGCTTTTGTATAAAATATTTGTTTATCCTTCATTTTTGATGGATATTTTTCCTGACTATAAAATTCTTGGTTGATGCTCTTTTGTTATAATACTTAATTGTTTTCTTTCTTTTGCATCATTTCTTTTCTCCAGCTACTTTTAAGATTTTCCTCTTAGCATTTGTAGAAATTTAATTATGATGGTAGCTCTCTCTCTCTGGCTTCATTTAGATAGCAGCTATTGCCATGTCTTCTTGTTTTCCACTATTTCTTGTAGTATCTAATCTAATCACACTCAGTGAAATTTTTATTTCTATATATATATTTATCTACAAAAATTTCACTTGGTTCTTTTTATATCTTCTGTTTCTCCCCGTGTCCCTGTTTTTCTTTCGGTGCTGGGGTGTATATTTAAGTTTTTATAGGGCAGATCTTCTGTAATTTGGGCTTTAAGGATAGACAAATCTTAACCGTTGAAACATGATCCCTCTGTATTGGCTTCTGAATGTCCCTGGGTATCATGAAGACTCTATGGGTGGTGATCAGACCTTGAACATCTCCCTATCTTTGTATGTCTTGGAAACTGTTCATCTTATAGTCCTTGGGAGGTTCATTCAATACTTATAGTCAGAAAAGATTCAAGGGAAGCCTTATACATACCTTGTTACTTCTTTTTCCTACATAGCACAATGCTTTCTGAACTCTGGTCTGCAACCTTCATCTTCCCCTACCACCCTGAATGCTAGCTAGCCTTCTGATGAGGTTGCTAAGCTCTGTTTGTTTGCTTTCACCTCTCCTACACTCTCATTCTGGACATTGCCTCCAGGCAGAGCACTGAACTGATGACAGGAATCGCCTCATTTGTTTCTCTGGGGATCTTGAACCTGTGCTTCCTACCACCCTAGTATTTAAAACTATTGTTGAAAACTTGTTTGTGGATGTTAAATCTGTTCCTTGTTACTCCATCAAGGCCATATGTGGAAATTTCCATTCACCTCTTCTAAGATACCATATTTAAGTCTTTCTGGAGTGCCTGGGTTTTTGTCATCCTTCTGTTAATGCTAAAATTGTTCCTTTTCACTTAATTATGAGTTGAATTGAGTTGACATCAGAACATGAGCTAGGTGGCTGTTTCTTTGAACTCACTGAAGTGGGAAGCCTGTAATGCACAGGCATCTGTGGTAAGCTTCCAATAGCTCACTTACTTGGCAACATGGAGGAAAAGGTCACACACACACACACACACACACACACACACACACACACACATACACACACACACACACACACACACACACACACACACACACTTCAGATCTTTTCT